TCCCGGCTAGTATGTGACAACAGGAAATAAGAAGGATGCTGGGACTCAGTACAATGATATCGGCCTCAGGCAAACTTTCAACTATAAAGAAATTCCTGTGCCCTAGGCCAAAAGAACAAAATTATAGTGAGGTACAATATAACTGAAATAACACCTTTCTCCTTGGCAGAGCAGAAGAGATATAAACTTGGAGTTGAATTTTTAGGGAAAGGGCACAGAGCACCACAAAGACCTCCCCATGGTTGTGATACCCACTGCATTACAACTGCCACATTCTGATGCAACATCCTATCACCATATTGCAACACATGATTTACAGCTCCAAGTGTTAAATTATGTCAGTTAATCTCTTCCTTTCTCTCTTTTCCCCAGACCTTTTAGAAGAAATAATATGGAACATGTGTCTTCCTTCTTCCTGGCTGTTATAAAGGAGGAGTACAGCAGAGGAACCACAACTTCCCAATTGTTTGGAAAGCTATAGCTTTCTTTTGCTCTAACGAAATTTACTGCAATTAAAACACTGGAGCCTCATATCAGATGTTAATAAGCGACCTCAAATATTATAAAAACTAATTTTAAGTTGAGGGATCATTTCCTCCATGTCAAAGGAGATGCAATTAACACTTTATTTGGGAACTGCTAATATAGAATAGCAAAGGCACAGAGGAATTTTTTGGTAGACAGAAGAAAAAAGTATAGGTAAGGGACTATTTAGTAAAACTGAAGCTATCCTTTAATTATCCCCTGGACCTAGGAATGTGCACACTGGTTCTGAGAGGGAGGAAGCTTGTCCAGGCCCTGAACGTGGACACTGGGCAAGGAATTCCAGGGTACTGAGTACTCGCAGTGTGGTCCAAAAGGGGCTAGACTTCAGGAGGGGATGTCCTCTGGGACTCCACACCCTGGTCTTCTTTGGCTACAAGACCAGAGCTGGGCTCTCTAAAGTGGAAAGTCTTGGTTGCCTGGATCTAAGAGCTATACTGATTAACTTATCTTTACGACTAGACTTTTAGGAGCTAATTATATTTAAATAATAACAAGAAGCAGAAAATTAACCTTTTCAACTCAACTCCATCATGAAAAACTTTAAAGGATATTATTGGTAGCAAACTTAGGTTAGCATATCTCAAAATACAGTCCACTGATGATCTGTATCGAGATAACAGAGGATACCTATTAAAAATGTAAAATTGCTCCCCAGATATAAAGAATCAAAATCTCAAGAGTGAAACCCCAGAATCTACATTTTTTACAAATGTCTCAGGAGATTCTGATATACTCAATTTGGGAATCACTGTGGTATATCCTCTGTTCCAACCAAATGGGGCTGAGTCAGGAAGGCACTGATTTATCTGAAACGGAACTCTAATTATTCAGGACAAATGTGCTTCTGAACTATGGACATCTGCCTGTGTATGTCTGGTATATACAAATGGACAGCATCTTAGGAGTATAATCAGACTGTTCTGGGCCAACTCCACCTTTTAGTAAGGAGAAGTCAGTTTAAATGTCTTTTCCTGAATTTTTCTCCTGGGTCTAAGAATATATATATTTAACAAAGCTGAATAATTATGACACACATCCCAGGGTAAGGACCACTGCTCTAGGAAATGATTTATTTGCTTTTATTTGAAATCTGTTTTGGGTCAAGCACAGGATCAGGAATCTGACAAAAGCTACCAACTCTGTCTTGAAAGTACACATACATATTTTAGCATACCCTTTTGAGGCCCAGTGCCTTTTCTAAGTTTTGGTTAAAGGCTATAGGAATACTGTCATGACACTAACAACAACAACTTTGAGATTCACCAAGGAAACAACAGGCACTAGGACTCTCTGGACTGTAAGTAAAGAGATTCTTCTTCTCTGGTGAATCTTGGGATTCCCTAAACAAGGGTCTCAGCTAGATTACCCTACACTGATGGTCAAAGTCAACAAACTCTACCCAGCCATTCAGAATTTCCTGTCAGCTCTTTAAGTTCTCCAGTCTTAAAGTTTGAGTAGAGAGTCAAATATTACCAGATATTTGAGGAAAGTATCTAAGAGAAGCCAGAAAAAAGGCAATTAAGAGGAAACAGACTATCTGGGGAAAAGAAAACTTAAAAAATTAATTTATTCTTTATGAAGGTGCTGCATCTATGTAAAAAGAACAGGATACTCTAATGAAGTGTCCAGGAAAATAGATAAAAGAAGAACTATACCAGGGTACATCATGATTAAATTTTAGGACACTGAGAAAAAAGAAAAGAATAAAGAATCCAGCCCAAAACAAAAACATGTTTTATATAAAAGATAAAGAATCAGAATGGTATCAGACATCTCAACTATAGAGAGGTGCCTTCAAAATTCTGAGAAAAAAATAACTTCTAACCCACATTTAAAAAATTATAATTATCTTAGAACTGGGCAAAATGGTATAGATGATAGAAGCTTTGTTCATCCCCTCTTGAAACCACATCAAAGTTGAGATGGAAACACGGAGCAAACAACAAGCAGAGTCACCTGGGGGTCTAGATGAACAGAGGCCCTATGAATAAGGAGAGAAATAAGAAATCAACTTGTAACAAGAGGAGGTAGGAAGGGGCGAGGACACAAGGCTGCCCGGTCCCGAGTGGCTAAGTGGGACAGAGGCTATGTCAGCTGCATCTGGCAGCTACAGATGTCTCTTAAAGGGGTTGTGTCAGCAACTGGACTTTCATTGTGATGGACCTGCTTGCTCTGACCACCAGCGCCAGGTTAGCTGCTCGGGGATACCAGGGACTTACAGGGGGACAATGAGTTGTTGGAGCGAGAGCTGGAGGCGAGGCTTTCTCTTGGGCAGAAGTGTTGGCGGTATCCATTGTTCCTCTGTTGAGCCCTACTCCCTCTCAGTGTGCAGATGCAGCGCTGCCATAGCTGAGTCGTCAGCAAACTGGATAAGAGGTTGCTCTGCCCATATGATTCCCTGAAACTCTGCCTCCTCCAACTTGGGCCCTACTCAAGCCACATCCAAGTGTGTCCTCAGTGAATCCTGTGTTACTTGCGAAGCAGTGCCATGACTCACACTGGTGGCAGCTGGCCTAGGTTTCTGGTGTGGTCTTTTGAGGCAACTATAAGCACAGCATCTGTGGATCACTTGCTGAATCTTAACAGGTGGCCCCAGAGGGGCACAGGCTGGCACTAAACTTGGCCTGCTGCTGAACACCTCTCAGAACTGTGCTGCTAGACACTGACTACACAAAGCCATACTAATAAGACTGGGAGACTTAGGAGCTTTGATTAGTACATAGAAAAGACTCAGAAAGGCAGCCAAAATGGGAAGACAAAGAAGCAGAAACCATATGAGAGAACAGAACACAGATCAAGGAAAAATGGAGTCAAGTAATCTAACAGATGCAGAGTTCAAAACACTGGTT